AGCGACGAGCAAGGTAGGATGTATCTCGGGATAATCGCGATTTCATCCGATGATTTAGTATCATCTCGTAAAATATTAAAGACGGATGTGCGCGTGCACATACTCTCTCGCGAAAGATTCTCCTTCTCCCCCTCCCCCCCCTCTCACTCTCTCTCTCGCGCGCGCGCGATCGTGCGATCGCGTGCGATGCAAGGCTCGCCAGCGAACGCGGTGACGGAGAGGATTTTCCACGGGCGATCGGGGCACTCGCGATATCGGGGACACGCGGCGGCCACCAGAGACCGCAGGCATGTGTGTGACGCATGAATTAAATAATCTAGGTTGATTTTACCTTGCGCGATCTGATACGTCGTCATTGAGGAGGTGGTTGCGCGCTGCGCGTTTACGACCAGCTCATCCGACGTTGCTCACACGCACGCACACCGCATCGCGAGAGCGGCGGTAAGGTCTCGCGCACGCACACATGCACGCACGCACGCACGCACGCACGCACGCACGCTCGCACATGAGATGGAGAAGCTGAGAGCGAGATCGCTGTCGCAATACGGCGATTCTACAATGTCAAAAATCAGACGCTCCGGCGGCGGAGCGCGCGGACCTAACGAGCGCGCGCGACGCGCGCGATGCGAATGCCGCCGTCCGTCAGCGCTAATGTTTCCGTGCGGCAGAACCGCTCTCGGTCGTGCGCGATTAATAAAAGCGTTCTCTAGCGTCGGTGCAAAACACACTCGCACAATGTGATATCGCGACGCTTTTTCGCGCGCGCTCCGAGGCTACCCCGAATCCGTTTACCTGGCTGATCTGCCGCAAACCGGTTCGGGAGTGCACGTAAATGAACCGACGCGCACACTCCGACGGGACATTTTGTACCTTCATATACGACAGTTCCTTTGTTTTCCAACGTGGGATATCCATTGGCCGTCCATTGGTGGTTACATTGCAATTAAGATTCGTCGTACGGACGATTGTCACAGATTCTTTCTACCCACTGTCTGACTTGCCAACGACAGCGTTGCGAATGCACGTGTGTGTGTGTGTGTGTGCGCGCGCGCGCGCGCGGATAATGAGTTGGCATAATGCGTCATTGAACGCCCGCTCGCCGGCGAGGAATATTTCTTTCGTTTTCTCCGACGAGACTTACATAAGCCGTCTTACAAAAGTGTGCGCGGCTAGTTACGTAATGATCCGAATTTATCACTTTCCCGCGTAGCTTTATATAGGACGCGCTATCTCGCTGTATAATATCGGTAACGTACGTATGCGTGCGTGAGTGCGTGAGTGCGTGCGTGCGTGCGTGCGTGCGTGCGTGCGTGCGTACGTGTGTCCGGGCGTGTACGTGCGTGCGCTCGAGGACCTCATAAATATTAATACAGTAGCATAAGTAGAACTATGTGTAGTAAGGCCGCGAGCTCAGTAAGGCCGCCTACTATCGGGGCCTGGCGCACGATGTAACGTTCCCAGCTGTTGCGGACACGCTGGAAAGGGAAAATTCGCGCAGAAAGACGCGTACATGTATTTTCAATTAATTCGCAGGCGTTTCTCAGGATGCGCTCGTTTGCAATTAAAATTCTCCTCGCGCGTGACTAGTCTCCATTCGTCAATATAAACTAATGGATGCCGCATCGAGAGAGACAAAGAGAGGGAGGAAGAGGAAGAGAGAGAGAGAGAGAGAGAGAGTCCGGGTTAATTATATTATTCTATTATGGAAATTGCGTCGGCACGAAATGTCTAATTAGACGTAAAATGTTAGTCGGATGCTACAGATAACATCGTTGGTCCCCGCGCGAGCAGCCATTCGAAAGATCTCACCGGCAAGAGATATGTACGTGCGCGCGTCTCTCATTAAGGGGAACCTCTTAAAATTCGACGTTGATACATCAATAAAGGGAAGAAGCGAGGTATAATCGGCATCGGCCGGGGGAAAAGGTAAAAGGCGCATTCGGCCGAAGAAGTGAAGTCGACCAATTAGCAGTCTCAGATTTGTCTGCCGTTTGTCGTTCACCTCGACGAAGACACACAAGCCGAAGACTTCTCTTCGGCTTGTTAGCCTAATTTGCAGGTAGCTCGGCGAAACGTTAAATTCGTCGTGAGCTTCGCTCAAAACACGCCGAGAGAGATGATCGCGCAAGAGAGGAGGGGAGGCGCGCTGCGCGTTTAAAAACGCACGATTAAAACGCATGTTTCGTTTCCGTTCGGCCGAGGTGGAATCTCGCCGGATGCAGTCGCGCGCGCTACTCGTTCTGGAACGAGGGTTAGGACGTACTAAAGGTTACGACGGTTAGTGATAGCAAATGATAATCAGTGGGATGCGCGATAAACAATGCGGCATACCGCCCATGAAGCCGGGAGCAGCTTCTCGTTAATTAAATTTTTTGATTAACTGTATAAAGCTTGGGACGCTCGGAGCGCGCCGCGCTCTGCTCAGGCGGAGAGAGAGAGAGAGAGAGAGAGACGGTCGCTGCTGCCGCGCACGTGTTGCACACGTCCGTGCACACGCACACGCACACGCACACACTCGCACACGTGCTCACGGAGGTTCACGAGGTGCATTCCACCTCGTAATAGGCGGACCCCGAGGCTCGGGACTTTTCGTCCCACGATACATTTCGGACCGAACGAAAGAGAGTTGCAGCGCGCGCCGGAGCGTTAACCCTTCGGTGCGCGTCGCGTCGCCGATCGACGACGACGACGACGACGACGACGACGAGGCGATTCGGCCCGAGCTCGTGGCTGAAAAATGAGGAAGAGGTCGGCAATTATGCAACGGTGAAGAAATGTGAGAAGGGAAAATCGTTACAAAACTCGCGAGAGTGAGAACGGAATTTGAAACTACCGTGCTCGAGATTCGTTTCGATTCGTCTGTACGATTTGATGAAGAAGGCGGACGAGACACGCTACGGACGCGGAGAGAGATAACGCACACGTTACCGGTGCGAAGGTGCGCGCCTTTGATTTTCTCGTGTCGAATAAATACCGTTCCGCGCCGCATTCAGACGATAGTACTTTCACGTTATCCCGACTTTTGTCGCGACGACATTTCTGTTGCCGGACGATGAAATCGAGAAACTAGTTTGCATGCATTAACGCTGCTCGCTCGGCCGTCCGAAGAAAAAACGCCTAACTGTGGTTGTACCGCGCGACGAGAAAGATAATAAGACGAATTAATTCATTTATTTCGATGCCAATCATACCTTTCGCACGTGATACGAAACGAGCGAAACACCCGCTTGGGAAATGCCGGGAATGTCTGCGGTGAGACAGGCAACGGGAAGTAGGGAGAGATAACGTCGAGATTATGGTAAACGGATAAACGGCGGACTGAAGTGAGTAACTGTAACGTACATATAATATGTATTATTCGGCTGATTCCGCGATGGTCAAGTCGCGTAACATTGGCGCAAAGACCGCGGGAAGCAATTAGCAGTCCGCCGCTAATACCGTACGTAATAAGTTACGAATAACGCGGCCGTAAACATATACATTAAGCAGCCGAGATTCGCCCGCGATGCATAATCGCACGCGATCGAAATCAGTGAAAGAACGTGACGTCTGCGAGTAGTTACGGCTGCTCGATGCATTCTTATTCCTCGCTCGCCGTAGCCGAGTGCAAACACCGTAAAGTGATGTGAAATGACAAAATATCCGCGTATACCGTCCGCTCGAACGGTCCTCCCGATTTTTGCTCGCGAAGCGGGCACGGGGTGGAAACAAGGAGCCGGGAACTTCGCGACGTAAAGTCCGAAGAAGAGAACACAGCTCGAGGAGAAAGAAAGCGTCTGAATATTGTTCGCCGCTTGTAATACGCTAATAATAAGTTTTGCCCGTTCGCAGCGTCGTGTCTCGAAGGTTTATGAATAACATATGCGTCCGCTGCTAAAAATATAAATTGATTTTGCATATTCATCGCTGAGAAGTCGCGGTTGCATGTAATTCGAGTCAGCACGGCATAACGTTGCAGAGTGTCGTTTCTCGTCTGATGATTTATGCATTTCTGATTTTCCCCCGCGTTCTATCCGTATAGCGTCTCGGGCATTATGCGCGTCAACAAAGTGAACAAATAAACGGGCCAAGAGGGGAAGATGAATAACAAGCCGGTGCGCCGCGCTTATCAAATCTCTCTCATCGAATCATTCTCCTGAGTTTCGCTTTTGACATTTAATTAGTTTACGCGTCTGCAGTAGCGGCGTCGTTTATTTATTGCGATCGAACGTCTTTATCTTCGTTGAATTAATCGATGCGTATGTACCAACGCGATTACTGCATCATGACTCCTCTTGATTTATTAAACCCGCATTTTACATGTGTCATTTGTCCATTGGCAATTTGTTGATCATCTATCTCTCCTCCTCCTCTCTCACACACATTTCGATGTTATTTCAAATATGCGCTCCTCTCGTTAATACCGTGAGAGAAAAAATACATAACATGGCGAGGAATATTTCTCGTGGTCGGTAATTATACACGACGTATTCCAGTCTGATCGCGTTTCCCTTTATGCTTGTGAATTTTAAAATGAATTTCTTGTCACTTCTGTGTTGATCCCCGGTTACCGAATACTGGTTTCGCGTTTAATTATTCATGACGATAACTAAAAACTACGCGACTAGACCAGGCGAGACACGTCTGTCACTCGTTGGCCGACACCCGAGTGAGAGCTTAGCGGCCAAGGATGACCTCATCGATTATTCCCTCGGACATTGCGCGATCACGAAACTATTTTTCCGCACGAGCGTCGCTTCTTCGCTTCTTCTCCGCTACAAGATCGGCACAAATTCTGACCGACCCGGCGGACCGATGCGCGCGACAGGTCCCATTTCTAATCCCCAGCCCCGCGAATGCCGTCCGGTTTCCCGCGGAACAGTTCGACGGAGTACTACGACGTATCCGCGTCACACAAACGCGCGCGGCTTCCGGCGCGCTCGCTGGCGCGTTTGAAACGCCTCGCGTTCAACGATTCCGTGGCTCTCCGCGGCGTGGCCGCGGTTCCGCGGTATACTCACCTGGCCGACACCGAGCGCCACCAGGAGCCAGCAGCACACCGCCGCCGTCGACGGAAGCATCCTCGCCGGAGGAGCGGCGGTCATTTTGCAGGATGACCCGCGCCCGCGTACTGACTGCGTCGCGTCGCAGAGCGTGTCGCACTCGCCGAAGGACCCGCCGAAGGCCAGTCTCTCACGTCACATTTTCCTCGTTCCCGGAGAAGAGTCTCATCGTATCCGCCGGGTTACCGTGACGAGAGAGAGAGAGAGATAATCAGTACGCTCGCTCGTGAAGCGAGGCGACCACGAGGCGTGCCACGAGGCCGTTCTCCTCTCTCTCTCTCTCTCTCTCTCTCTCTCTCTCTCTCTCTCTCTCTCTCTCTTTCTCTGTCTCTCTCTCTCTCTCTCTCTCTCTCTCTCTCTCTCTCTCTCTCTCTCTCTCTCTCTCTCTGTCTGTCTCTCTTCTCTGTCTGTCTGCCTGCCTGTCTTTCCGTCGCGGAACGCACGAACAAACGCACGCACGCCCTTGCCAAGCGCGTCGAGTACCGCGCGCTCGACCGTCAGGAAGTCTCGGAAATCGTGCGGAGAAGTCGCGACGGTACGACCGCGACGAGGAAGATCGCTGGCGGGTGTTAGACTGGCGCAATAATGACTGCGCCCGGTCGAGCTGCTGCTGCTGCTGCTGCCAGGGACGCTCAGGTGTTCGGCTTTCTGGTGGGGATGGACGTGGTCGCAGTGGCCATTCCCTCTTCATCCAACGCGCTGTGCTGCGCGATGCGGGCATTCATGTCTCCGGTTTCGGTGGAGCCGCTGCTTGCTTGGCCGTACCACCGACGAGGTAACGCTGTCAGTCAACCCTGGGTAAATTTTCGTATTGACAAGGAGGCCCAAAGGGGCCCGGCGGTAATTGAAGAACGACGACAGTACCGACTGTTTTAGCTGAAGATAACGCGAACATTTATATTGCACTATATTTCAATTACCATAGCGATGCAAAATTACCAACGATACAAAAATATCGTACAAAATGTGTCGTTATTATAATAAGTCTGTCGCGTTGCTTTCTCGCTTGACTCCTTCATTCTTATTCCCTCCGGCGTTCGAATATTTTTATGTGTCCCCAATTTATGTTTACGCGCTTCTAGTCTATCGTTTTGAGTTTCTCATGTATCGTATACTTTTCCATGGCTAAGTTTTACACTTATACAAAATACTTCAATAGCCTGTTGAAATATTTAATTTGGCTCTCTCTGGCATGTCGTTAATTAATATGCATCGCGTGGAACTCTGTATAAAATGAATCAAGTGTTATCATGTAGACTTAAACTCGGTTAGGGTGTAACATTATGACGCAGGAACGATGCATTTAATTAAAAAGGAAAAAAAAAGGAAAGGAAAGAATGCCAAGTTTACACGCACACATATACACACGCACACGCCCCCTATTATCCTTTGAAAAAATAATTATATAATAAGAAATTAGTGTGTAATACATCTCATTTTATTTTGTTGATAAAAAAATGATGAAAAATATGCTAATGATCAAATAAGATAGTGATCAACATTTTCGAAATGCGCATCTGAATTTGTACAAAATTCAATTCTTTTACGAAAACTCGTAAAAACTTCGCAACCTATGCCGTTATTTTTTTGTGGATGTAAAGATTTAGCCACAGAAACTTTCTGCTGCATCTGTCGTCGAAATAGTTTAGCTTCCATTGGATCCGAAATAAAAAGTACATTTCCTAGTTGCTTGAAGCGATAAGGGAAAGATTAAGAAGATGAAGCCAATGTATGGAGAATACGAAAGCCTGAATGTGCATTCTTCTTTTTCGAGTATAATTTAAATGAAACATAGTGTCAGTTATCTTCTTGATACTTTCCGATATTTTTTTCCCATTATTTCATATTTATTACCATTTATTTGAACTATTTCGATGCTTATTTCGAGCTTCCGGCTGCGATATTCCTAAGAGGGCGTTAGAGCTCGGGGAGAATTCACGCTACTCTAAATCTCGTAAGACCAACGTTCCTTATTAAAATCTCGTCACGAGAGGCCGGTACGGACCGAGCAACTGGCTGGTAACTTAGATCTCTGGCGTATCAACGAGTAGTGAACGCCAGCCAGGTAGGTTGCTTCTCTTCAGGGTAGCGTCGGCGGCGACACGCGCGAGAATGTACCGTTGCGAGGAGCGAGGAACGAAGAGCGATAGCCGATGGCAAGCGTAAAGAACTGGCGCGATTGGCCAGCGCGAGATGATGTGTGCCAACCGCACGAGGCGTTCCCGAGCAATCACTCGTGCAAGTGCTAATTATGTCCGGTGCTGCTTGATTTGAATGATCAGACGAGAACATCGGCACGTTGCGGCGCGTTGAGAAGCATTAACGACGTTCAACGTCATGTCAGACCTTATACAAACAGGGACGTTTACAGAAGTAATCTCGAGATAAAATCAACTTCCATGCCTTTGTTATTCTTCAGTCTTCAGCGCGCGAGTACAATGCGGTGCGCGCACAGCTGACTCGTGCGCTAAATTTAGACACTTAAATCGCGAATAATGGAACCCGGATACTCATCCTTCAACCGTACGCGAAAGCGATCAAAAAATGAGACGTACGACAACAAGTGCTGGAACCGGTTGAAGCGGCTGAAAAATTGTAACAAACGAGCCGCGCGCGCGGCCCGAGCTAGACTGGTTCGACCTATCGCGATTAAAGCCAGTCGGCGCGAATCTTTGAGGCGTGCCTATCGCTTTCGAGGGTGGCTCGGCGGCCTGCCCTTATCGAGCCCATTCTGGGACAAGCGTTCCCAGACGCGAGCGAGCGAGCGTTCGATGTGTCTGCCGCTCGCGCTTTCGTACACGTCGTCTTCAGCGGCCACTGTTCGCGAGACGCTACTTAAGACATCACAAAGCAGACAAAGAGTCCGCGTGACAGACAATGGAAGCGGCGTGTAATCATTGGCGTGTAATGCGCACACCAGCGACGAGAGAGATACGGGTGTATCCGAGGGGGGCCGGAGGCTCCAGCGATCAATCATACATCCAAGCGCATCGAGAGAGAGAGAGAGAGAGAGAGAGAGAGAGAGAGCCCGAGAGATCGGAGAAATGACCGGCGTACTTCGCCCGCTGCGGAGCAAGCACGACGGGAACAATGCGCGATCTTACTGGTCGTGGGAGCACCGACCGTGACATCAGTCGTAATTTTATCGCGCGCGAATAATTCCGCCGATCGGACATGCCCGGGTAAGAACTGTCGCTTCGCTAACGGCCGACGTAGCGGTCCGCGCGGTGCGGTAAAGGGCGCGGCAGATTTACCGCGAGCTTCTCTCCGCGTATCCGCGCCGCTTCTTATCGCGAGCGCATTATCCGCCGCCAGACGAGAAGTCTGACAGCGCCCGGCTTCTTGCCCCGCTCTTCCTCGTCCTCGAAAGGGGCATTCGAGAGGGAAGTTGGTCGTATCGATTGAAGTTTCCTTAAAACGCGCTGCTATGACCCGCTGCTAGGCGTCTTTGAATGCAAAGTATGCACGTTATATGCGGCGCATCCTCCCCGCATCCGTCTCTCCGCGCGGGGAGAGGGGGCTCGTCAAACATTGATGAGAATTTTACATTCTCGACGACGACGACGACGTCGCCTTCATCGCCCCAAATATAGATGTATTATCGACGAAGTTTCACCCGCAGCCGTGAGTTCGAATAACACGGTGCGGCCAAGTATTCCGGCTGCGTTCTACATTTGCGATCGCGTTATCCGGCGGATGACGGTTATACGAAAGAGACGAATATGGATCCCGGGGAGTATCCGCGGGATGTCCCGCGGGATCCTCGAACATTCTTCACTTGCGTCCGGGAGAACTCGGCTTCCCCTCGGCAGGATGTTACCGAATCGAGCGGCGGGTAACGTCGCCGGCATTTTTCAAAGGCGAGATCTCGTGAGATATAAAAACGTGTACTTTGTCGACAACAACTGGCCGCGCTGGACATCTCGTCGATGTCGAGACCCACGTTTCTAATAACGCCCGGACGAACATTCGATCTCGAGCACGCACATCTCCGCGTTCCCCCGGACGTGACTCACCCCCCGGAAAAGGAAACGTCGCGCTCGGCCCTTCGACATCGATTTCCCGCCTCTTCGCGCGCGCTTCCGATGAAAATTATCTCCGCCACCCTCTTCCCCCGTAACCGGCCGTCTCACCGCCCGCGAGGCAACGGCGGGAATGCCGGAATGTCGCGCGGACGTCATGCGGCCGTCGAAGGGGTGCGAAGGGGAGCGCATAGGAAGCATGTTTCATCGCCAGTCGGCAAGTAGGCGAACCGTATTTGACACGCACCGAACAATCTTACACGAATACCAACGGGCAGGCGACGAAGACGGGGGGAGGGGTGGTGTGGTTTGCTTTTTTACACCACCCCGTCGTCCCCCCCGTGTCCCCCTCTCACGCGAAGTTGTACGAGCCGCGACGGGGTGGAGGGGTGCTCGCGAACGCCCCCGTAAGCACTACTGCTGAAGGGGACGGGGGGGGTTAACGGCGGAGGGGGTCGGCGGAAGATAAGGGGTTGCGCAGGCGTCGACGTATCGACCGTAGTAGCCCTCCGGGCGACACCCTCGCGAGTCTCCGCTGAGCCTCACTGCTTCATCGGCAAACTAGTGGGTAGTACACGCACGCGACACAGGTAAGTGCTCACACTACACCCGAGCTAGAATAGTACACGCTGCCATTGTCGGGGACGGGATTTTCAGTTACACGCCGGCATCGATCTCGGCTCGGTGCAACTGGGCTTTCCCGAACCCTCTCTCTTCCGCGAACGTCCGCGAAGGTCCGCGAAACCTCACGTCAAGCCTCGCGTCGGCCGGCTCGCGAAAATCTCATCCCTCCGGCCCTCGTCGCGTCGGCTTCGACCCCGCGGAGTACGCCGAGTGACAGACTGGTGGCGCGCCGGCACCTTTCACGTGACGCTCGTCTTCGCCGAGCGGGGTAGTTTCGACGACGTAGTATCTCTCTCCCTTGCTCCCTCGGCGGGTAACTGCGCTCAGTACGCTCCGGATAGTCCCTCTTCTCATCGCGTATCACGTCCTTGTGCGCCGCGGAGATAACGAGCAAGCCGTCGGAACTGCACGTCGTAAACGCAGACGTAACGATCGAATCGGCTCGCGGTCATTGCTTATCGGGGAGAGGCGAAGGCTCCAGGTAACGTCTTCGCGGGCGAGATCGTCGAGGTAAGATACTGCTGACCGCTCGTGTTCAAACGATGGCCGAGCGCTCGGCTCGAGCGCGGACGGCCGTTGATAAGCGGGATCGTTACTCCCCGCTCGAGGTCCGAGGGTGTTGCGTTTTCGTGGGCAGCCGAGCGCGCTGCTTTTCGGGATTTACGTCCATTGCGCAAGATCCCGGTGTCTTGGGCGACCGGAGTACAATCAATGTTTAGTCATAAATAGTCGCGGGGACAGTCGAGAATGGGAGCTGGCAAGCTCGCGGGGCGACAATTTAAGCCGCCGCCGGGGACGCGATCCGCGAGGGAAGCCGGAATCCCGTCGGATAGAAGGGGGCTCGACGGAGGGCGCGTTTCGCGAAGCCGGCGTCTTCATTGATTTTCGTTTTTTCAGCGAATTTCACTTGACATACTCAGAGAGCCGAGCCGAGTGGCGCACGTCTCTTTCCCTTCCGCCGTGACGTTAATGAAAGCCGCTTTTTCTCGCCGAGTTGCAGTCATGGCCGCCGCGAGGTGGTGAATCCTGAACGATCTCAGCGTAAACGCGCGTTTCGCGAGCGACTCTTTCGTGCGCGACGCTGCTGCGTTCTTTCGCGCGCTTAATGCGTTTTCTTGTCACGGCAGGGCACAAGCTCTTTCACCGGCCGCGTCGGAGCGCGCCCTAAATTCGTCGCCGCCGAGGAAAGTCCTCGAGAGCAGCCGCCGTCTTCCGTCGTCTTCCATGTCGCGCACTCGCCACGCCGTGAAATCTCGAATTTTTCAGACGTCTCAACTGCGCGAGAGACTACATTTCTCCGTGTATTGCGCAAGTTCTTGTAACGCCGCTCGCGAGTCGCGACCCGAGCAGGATGTCTGATCGATGACCGGAAGCGGAAGATCGGGAGATACAACGTGAGAATTTCATTCCCACTTAATAGCAAGATTCTAAAATCCCCCCAGTTAGACGGGGGGGGGGGGGCAGGATTAAAACAGGACGTAGAACACGGCGATCCTCTGGAAGACGCTTAATCCTTGTAATTGCGCCAATTGGAGCTCGTCGTAGCTCGGTGTAATATGCGCACATCCCGTGGCAGCCGAGATCAATTGCGGTGAGATTAATTGCAACTATGTGACGATTTTGCGCGCTCGCATTTAATCGAGGAAGCAGGATTCCCCTTGTCACTTTCTCTCGATTTGACACTTGATACCCATCGCGTGGAGCGGACACGTCGCGTCGTTCTCGCTCGGCTCTCGCCAATTGAGCAGCGAAGTTTCCTCGCCCGAGCAACGCGCACCGGGGAAGTTAGGCGTCGGAGATTGCTACACGCGAAGTTCGCCCGTTTCCGCGAAGCGTCGCGCTATTATCGGGGAGAACGTTGCAAGAAACAAATATGAGCGCAGCCCGAACGTATCATTGCTTCCTCGACGCCTCTTCTCCCGCCGCGTGAGCATAGAATTACCCCGCGAGCTCTCTTCCAGGGAAGGCACTACGGCGCTCCGCCAGCCGATAGGATCGGGACGGACAGGCCGTGGAAGTAACGTTTTCATGCCGCGCGTATGTTCCGGGAATACGTAAATGCCGGCGAGGCGGCGCGCGCGCGATGCCGCGAAGCATTTGAGAAATTCCAACCGAGCGAAATCGCGACCCGAGTATCGATTTTCGCGAGCGTTATGCAGAACGAGAGAGTCGTTGGCCGCACCGGTTACATCCGGTAATTTTTATTCCCCGATGTGCGATACGTGACTGCTCCCTCGAAGCGCTCCTCTTTATTCGAGTTTAGTATCGGGAGAGCTCGAAACTTTTCGCCGGCCGGGGCGGGGGCGGGGGGGGGGCACTTGGGACTTGAAAGAAAAACTTTATCAACGACACGCCTGCTCCGCCGTTGATTCCTATCGTCACTATTTCGACTCTCTCGTCTCGCTCTGGAATATAATTAAATAACCCCGCGCGCACGCCGAGTTCCGCGTATTACGCGTCGAAAGGTTAGACCTTATCGAGTTTTTGACGTTGCTTTTATTAGCGTAATAATGCGCGCAGGTCTGTGCACAAAGCACGGCGTAAAGAAGGTCAGAGAAACGCGGAGCCAGTTTTACGGTCTTACCTTGCTCTTTCCGATACGGTGGAGGACCCAATTACGAAGAGATGTCCCACAATAAAAGTGTGTCGTTCCACGGCCGTTTCATTTAAGTCACTCGAAGTGGAAGGGAAAGCTCTCCTCGAATTAGATCCGTAAAGTGTACGAATGCCGCCGACGAGTGTGTTCTCGCGCGCTTTAGTTATTATTTTACAGGTGACTCGAATATCTCGGTGAATCAAATGAACCGTAATTCTAATAGAGAGACCGACCGGTGAATCGATCCGACAGTGTATCGCCTCAAATGCGTAGAAATTAAATCTCGCTAATTCCATACCGACGATATTATCGTGTATTACGGCTAATCCGTACAATTATTCGAGTATTCGCAATTTCATTTCGAAACGACCGCCGATCACGAATCACGGATCGCAGTTCCCGCGCTGAAAGTCGCGCTTGCCAATCGCCCTCTGCCCTTTACTTGTTGCAGATTTCAACTTGGATTGTTTATTTTCTCCTTCCTCACCTCCTCTTATTTCATCCTTTCCTTTTTCGGGTTACCTTACGTTGAAGTTTATCCCACGACGCATTGAGCAGAGAGAAAAAGAGAGAAAGACAGAGAGAGAGAGAGAGAGAGAGAGAGAGAGAGAGAGAGAGAAAAAGAGTCCGCCCATCGGAACATCGGGGATCCATCGAGCCGATCTATCGACCTGCAACGACCTGTGCTCGGCTTCCTCGGCCCGTCGCGACGTCAGGGAACCAGAGCGGATTATCCAGCGGGTCGCTTAACAGCCCGAGCGACGAAACCGCGCGCCGTTTCATCGCGACTGCGAGACCAGTGTAACCATCAAGATTACCGGCCGCGGCGGTTGCGCCAAATACTGTGGTACAGCTCCATCACCCGGCAACATTTCATTCTCCAGTTTTCGTCAATCCTTCACCTCCAATGTCAACTACCTGAAACGGAGGTGAGTCACCGCCGCCGTCGCCGTCGCCGTCTCCACCGCCGCCGCCGTCGCCGCCGCCGCCGCCGCCGCCGCCGCCGCCACCGCCGCGTCCACGCTCCAAGCTTGGCATTTAACTTCGTATCGATTCATTCCGCCAATTTGTAACTTATGGTTTTTGTAATTATAGCGCGGGTAATTGCTGCAGAGCAGCGCTCGAGCAGTTACGCTTACATATCCCGTTAGTACGTTGAGAATTTCAAATTACTGAGATATTTAATTAAACGCTATTCCCGCGACTGTCGATCGATCTGCTAATGCCAGCCGGGATCTGGTATCTGCATGCAGCGGGTCATAAGTAGTGCGACGTGAGAGGCTTCTCACCGATTTGTAGAAAGCTTCTCGATCGCAAACAATAGACAGGGAACTTGCGGCGTTATGCGATTCTGCGAGAAAATGTGCGGGCTAAATACTAGGTCGGTCGGAAAGTTAATTTCGGTCTTTGAGTCGAGCTTGCTTTCAGAGTCCGAGTGGGAACGCATTATTCGTCAGCCGAGTAAATCATCGTCGTCGTCGTCGTCGTCGTTTGCGACGCTTCGCCGTCGACGATCTCGCCGCGGAACATTAACGCGGCATCGTCGCCCGTCCGACGTTGTCTATCGAGAATCGAATCGGACCTTCCCGTCGACCTGGTATACATAATTTACGCAGCGCAGTTTTATTTCGTCGTCGTCTCATCAGAGAGCCAGAGAGTACGAGAGAGGTGACACGCAATTGCGAGCAGCGCAATTTAAACCCCCATCGTATTATCCGCGCCTTAATGGGCTTTCAGCGCAATTGCCAATAGCATTCACATGCCGTTACCGGAATCGGGACGGGATCCTCTAATCCGTGTAATTAAAATCGGGCATGGAAACGGTCCGGGCGAAACACCCGCGCTATCTCTCGCAGTGGATTCGTTGTTGAAAGGCACACCTGATGAAAGTCCGCGTATCGCATCACCGGAGGCAGACTGAGTCCTTTTATGAGCGGCGCTCATGCTGAGTAAATTTACGCACACGAGCGCGCACATGATGACGATCGGTCGTTAAAACATTAAACGTGCGCTCGGTATCTCGATGCTCCACCACGAGCTCTCTCGCCGGCTCTCACGACGTGCGCGCGTCCGTGAAAGGAAAATAGATTCCTCTGTCCAATTAGCCGGACACGCGCGCCCTACCTGAGTCGCGCTCGGTAAACAACATATCAAAGTTACAGTGTTAGAAATTGGGATAGTCACTGAAACTCGAGACGCGCCGCCCTGGGGAACCTGATGAAGTCATGGCAACGCGAGCTGCGGGAAATTGAGGGAAAGAGAACAATACGATGCAGCGTGATCTCGGTGAAGAAAACATCTCGTTGACGCGTGACTCTTGACATTGATACGATCTCGCTTCGTTAAACTCGTCTTCGAATCACTGCTCCGTTTCGATCTCCGATTGGAAAACGAGTCGAAACGTGTATGGTCTCTCTTCGCCCGACTAGAAATTTTGATCAGGTTCGCCTAAATACTGATAAGGTGATCTAATAGGGTGAATGAAAGGTAATCCTAAGTAAGTCAGTCCTTGTAATATCCTAACGACAAATGAATAAGGAAGACCTTTATAAGGTTATAATGTTTGGGTCCACACTAGGACCTTAATGTACCAACCTAGTGTATGATATAATACGGTTCAGTTAATCGGCTCCTTGTCGGGATCTTATTCATTGTACCTAATATGATTTGTATTATCAATATACTCAACAAAACAATTTTTGAGTGTCATTTCCAAATATAAAGATGTTCGCATTGAAAAAACACTTCGGATCACTTGAATATATTTGTAAAATGCTATAGAAACTATCCTTTTTTTAGCAGTCAATAAATAGTTGTAAAATTAACGTGACATGCAACTTTTCTCTTTAACACTACTTTATGTCTTGTCACCTTCTGTTACTTTATGATCTTATGATATTCATTTTATGTTTTCCGAAACATTTTACAAGTATGCGATCAAGCAATCTGAAATATTATTTCATGCAAATTGTATCTTTTTATTTGAAAATGACATGAAAGCATTTTCAGCGCGTCATTTCATATTTCTAATGTCATCATCCAATATAGTCGTGGCGAGTAATCAGGAGCCATAATTTGAAAAAGGAAACGTAATACGGATTCCATAGGGTAATTCAATAAGGATCTGACTATGAATCCTTACTAAATGAATCCTGATGTCCACGTTGCGTTACATGACTTACTAAGATCCGATGGTATTACCTTATTGGGATAATGTCCAAATGGGATAAATTTCTAGTCGGGCGACGCTTCGCACGAGGATGAGAAAAAGTTCACATTAAGCAACGGTCGAGTACAAGAGTCTACGTCGATAAATCGATGAGAACTGATATTGATATGAATAAAATGATAAAACAGTATGAATGCAAAGGGGACGACGGTAATCCTCGGTAGGCTGTTATCTTTAAAAATACCGTTAATCGATCGCGCGGAGGTGAAGGGGATATCAGTCCGAGTATCCGGGGCGAGGAAATGTGGCGCGTCCGAGAGGCGTGTTGGGAAAACGGTGCTTACCTGAATGTAAGGCGTCGCGCTAAAATACCAACGGCGAGTCCGAGCACGCAGGTATTTCAATGTTCTTATTGATAGTAGTCCCCGAGCCTTTCGTGTTGGACAAGTGTGGATGTGTGCATGCGCGGCTCGTTAAAAATACCGCTTCCAGCATTGCCCCAAATGCAACCTCGACGCGATATCAAACCATCGCGCTAATGTCGCTTTACACACGGTAACGTTAACACAACGTCGCCGTCTCCCGCCGTCTCCGCTCTCTCCCCCGCCGTCCGCTCCAGCGATATCGCGTCTTTCATCTTCCGCTTTTACTTTTGACGAGTAACCGCACGGATCCGCGCTAATGTGCGCGCACATGTACTTGCGCGAAAGAGTCGATGACGTAAATGCGCAACGACGACGCGGCTTCGTGTGGATATCTCGCATTGTTCGCGCCTCGGCGCGCGTTTCGCCGAGCGCGAGACCAGCGCGGCGGGGACTTCCAGCTTATAGAGATGGAAAAGTAAAAAAAAAAAATAAAAGAGAGGAACGGAAAGAGAACCCAGGGAAGCAGAAAAAAGTGTCCGCGCACACGAATGTATCGTTATCGGGAAGCCGAAGCTTTCGGATCCTCCCGTGGTCGTCTATTCCGCGGAACGGAAATAGACAAGCCGCGGCGCTCGTCGCACGCATGTTCGCGACCGCCGGTCTCACCGCCGACGTCATCTCCATGCCTCGCTCCATCAGCATCACCACTGGCTGCGATCGATGTGTGCATTAAAAGCAGTCGGTAATACGACAGCGTCCATGCGCGGGTCCTGCCGACCAAATTGCCACTGTCACGACGACCACCATAGCTTGTCTTCCAGGTTCTCATCAGGGGACCTGAGCTCAGAGCTCGACGATGAACCCAACGCGGATCCTGGGCTGGCCACCGTGGGTCGGCAGGACTCGTCCCAGCCGTATCAGGCGGTGCCGGAGCGACCCCTGCAGTCTCAACCGGGCCCGATACCTCCGCCGTCCCAGCCGCCGATTCCAGGCGCGCCGCCTCCAGGACCGCCGCAGCCCATCGGCGGCGACCTCAGCCTCAACCTGAGGCCCGGCTCGAGAACCACCAGCGCGCCGTCCTCGCCGGCCAAGACCCGGGAAAGTTTGCTCCAGCGGGTGCAGAGTTTGACCGGCGCCGCTCGCGACCAGGCAAGTTCCACTCTCTCTCTCTCTCTCTCTCTCTCTCTCTCTATCTCTCTCTTTTGCATTCGCACTGTGTATGTGTGCGACCTATAGCGTATAGCCCTAGTCGGACGGAAATGAGCTCTGTCATTCAAGCCGAGAACGAGAAGCGACGATGCCATCGCCGGTGCAACTATAATCGCACAAGTGAATTATTAATCGATATAGGCTTCAGGCTACCTCCATTGCTTGCGACTTTAGTCCGCGGATTTTTCCTTTCAACACTTCTGATTGTTGTTTTGAAGAAGTCACATTTCAAGAAATTTATTCTTTGTTAGAGATCTGCCGAGGAACAAAGAGAAGATGTACTCGTTCATTAATTTAATTAATACCGCGATGGTACACCGAGAAGCAACGACTCTAATTACGCGCGTCAGAAACGTAAAGTCGTCTTCTGGGAGCTGGATTGCCTTCCCTCCTGTCTAATTTCGGAAAATTTCGAGTCGTTAAACCCGCCCCTCTCGATACGCAGCCTTCTATCTCGAGACTGAACTGCTTGACCGTGGATCGATACGTGATCTTCCGTGTTTACTCGTGTTTATTACGGTTGCACGGTTACAAATAACGAGAGAGAACCGAGTCGCAGAGGTCTGACAGTTAAAATGACATGTAGGGTGCTTCTATTCTGGGAGCGGCGGTGTCTGGCGCGACCAGAGGCCCGTCGTACAGCAAAGACCGATGCTTCACTCTGCTGGTGATCGACGACCAGAACACCGACTGGAGCAAGTACTTCCGTGGGCGTAGACTGCACGGCGATTATGAGATCCGCGTCGAGCAGGCGGAATTTCGAGAGTTGTCTCTCACGGCCAGCGAGGCGGGCACCGTGGTGTCCATGGCTGTCTATCGTAACGGGACCAAAGTCATCCGGTGAGATAGTCGCTCGTGTCAATAATAGAGAGGAACGGGAGAGCGTGCATTTTTATCCGCGCAGCTCCCGCGAGCGCTTTCCAATATCTCAGGTCAGGTCGCGCAGTCGCGTTCACACAGCTCCGTTCTATTTTTCACATTTATTCCGCGCGCAAATGTTGCGGGCGACATATCGGAGAGGCAAAATTTTATCCACCTCTTGGGAATGTGTCGTTGCCGTTGTCGATACAATTACAATTAAACAGCACGCCCGGGATGAAGTAGTTTATTCGAAACGTTGCCGAAATGCCGAGTTGCGAGTGCACAACGCCTGTACACAACTGTCGTCTGTTGTTAGATCCTTCAAGCCTGACTTCGTATTGATACGCCAGAACCTGCGGGACGCCGGCGAAGATTACAAGAATCTTCTTCTCGGTCTGATGTACGGCGGTGTGCCCAGCGTTAACAATCTCACCGCGATTTACAACTTTCAGGTAATGCATCAACCATCATCCATCCCTCCGTGACGAATCGAGCCCGAGCAACCGCCGTTGAGTACAAATGCGGAGAATGAAATTCGATCGAACGACCGCAATGGCGCGTGATTCGTTTGATGATCCAGTCACGTAAAGAAATTCGCGAGATATTTGAGATCCGTATTTGAGGTGCGACGATTATTATTTGAGCAGAATGTGATCGGCTGATAGATATTCAATCGCACATACCGCGCACAATTCCCGCATCGGGATAGCTCCCATCGATTTTATTACATATGCGCCCGTCGCACGCGGCGCGATCGGAACCCTCCGATAATTACTGTGTGCTCTATGAAATTATAGGACAAACCTTGGGTATTTGCGCACCTGCTGGGGCTGCAACGTCGCCTGGGTAAGGACAACTTTCCCCTCATCGAGCAGAGTTATTACCCCAATCATCGCGAAATGGTGAGTGCAATCTATCGACAAATATTTACTGGACGCCATTATTTTCTCGCATTTTTTCAATAAAGCGGCGGCGCCCGTCGTCGGGGAAACGAACATTAACTCCACATTGTGTACGAGAGAGGACGACTGTTTCCGTTTATTTTCATTCTACATGTCGCGCGTACTTGCGAAATGCATTGCCGCGTACAAAGAACTAGACTAACGCATAGCTACAAAATTCGTAGTCTTTCGATCGGAAATACAAGCGAGTTTCCCGCTGCAGTAACACGGTGTTTTCGTGTCTCGTGCCGAATTTCGATCACTCCGGGCACTTTGAGTTTCACGAAAAACTGCCGACGGACGCAATAACGACGCGATGAAAACGCCGTCGAGCGATGCACTTGTGATCGCGCAGTATCGTAAACTTATAAAGGAAACCGCCGCTTTGTTCGTAGAATCGCAAGCTCGAGTATTCTCCGTGAAGCCTCCGTGAAGCTTAGTTTAGTTGTACAGACTGCATGAATAATAATCTGCGTAAATAACAAACGTGCTCTCGAAGAGGTACCATCTAGTTTAACCTAAGAACGCGCACGGGACGTCGCGAGACATAAAGTACGCATCTCGATGACGTCCGAGACTACAACGAAACGACAGTTGGAATAATTTATAGATGCACAATTTACACTGACAGCATAATATATACTATATAATATATACAACTCTCGCGAAGAGAGAGAGAGAGAGAGAGAGTAGCCGTGAGAGATTCGGGAAACCTGTGCACATTTCAACGATAAAACGCACGTAGGGCGCAACTCTCCGCACGTTGCGAAATGCTTAGCGCTAAGAACTTACCCCCCCCCCTCCTCCCGCTAATAATAATCAATGATTAATTAAAGATCGGTTTCAACAACGTCGCTCAGAGTTTAATCGTATAATGAACTGAACCACCCTTCCTTTGCACATAGCAGAGCCTGATAGTCGGTTGCTAAATCGATGAAAATGCGGGACAGGGATTAGCCGGCGTTGTCGCCACCGAACTCGAGTTGCGAATAATTTAACACGCGATATACATAATTCCATATCTTAACAATTACAATACTACACCGCGCGCTACAATCCTCGACGCGCGCGCGAGCGTTTTCGCCGCTCGCTTGTCGAAGTCTAAATACAAATTAGCACGAAAATTCATACCCTACCGTCATCGATCGTTACGTACGTAACACTGCGCCTCCCGGAAAGAGAATGTCAGAAATTTTTATCAGAGCAGATGGAGAGGAGCAGTTTGTCGCTTGGGAAATTCAAGAGGCCGGCTATTTTCGCTCGGGGATAAATGTCGTGTTAAATGAGGGAGAGAGAGAGAGAGAGAGAGAGAGAGAGGCGCTATTGAGAGCGCCGCGATAAGGGAGAGATCCGCGAAATATTTTGTTCGTCGGGGCGATGAGAAGAAGGACGTAAGGAACGGAGAAACGCAAGGATCGAAGAGTCACGTCGCCTTATACGCGCGCTCGATGACCCATTAACAAGCTATTGTGTCGCTCGGCCCCGTGCGATAGAAGCTGCGCTCAGACGCAGCTCCGTCGTTTTCGGCGCTGCAGATAGAGTTCGTTCCATTAAACTGTCACTGTACACCACTCACCGGCTCTCGGCGACTCAATTATCGCCGCGGCGAGCGTTCGATCAAGCCGATTGACAGGCACGCCGCGTAGTTCCGCGGCCGATAAGACAGCCGGGGGGTCGTCTCTGTCTCACCGGCGCGGCGCAGCGCGGCGACGAGCGCCGGAGAATGTCGGAGCAGAGTTAACAATCCCGCGACCTCTGCTGCTCGCGCAGATGCTGGTGCTTCTTGATGCAATTTTTGTAAGGGACCGAGGGTACCCAGGAGCAGCCGCGGATCGTCACCATGCACACTCCGTATTTTTCTTGGCAATCCTGGGGGCCTGGTGTGCTCTCCCAGAGGCAACGCTTGCCACCGCTGGACTCCAGCACGATTCCCTTGCGTCTCCACTGTGTATACATGATCTGCGATACAAAAACCAGGCCATTTTTCTCGCCGTCACGTCTTTTATCTCGCTAGCCCCCTCGCCCCCTCCCCCCTCCCCCCGATCTCCTCGCGGTTTTCTCGCAGTCGCGTAAACTCTCGCGTCTCGCAAAAGTCTCCCGTGATTGATCGAGCGCGCAGAGTGCGACTCTTTCTTCCCGCTCGCTCGCGCGCGAGTAGCGCGACGAGCGCCCGTGCGCGTATTTTTAGGACACTTTTTGGAAGCGTTCTCCAGCGGTATAAAAGCGGTAGCCGGATTTACAACGGTGGCTGCTGATTTATCGCCCCGGCTTCACCCTCGCCCTCGCATATCGAGCCCTGCGTTGGCTCTCACGCTCGGTCGGAGAAATATTTAATCTCGTAGGACTCGCGCGCGCGGTCTGATTTAGTATACGCACGACGGCCGAGATTCGCCTGTCCTGTCGTCTGTGAAATCGAAGCCCGTCTTTCCCGAAGCGAACACTTACGTCGCACACGCAACCCTGCTGATAGAGATGCCTCAGTCCTTTGCGTTGCTTATTGGTCGTGTCGGCCCACCTTATCATGAGGCCGCAGGACGAGACGGACGCCTTGCCGTTGTTGATCCTCCCGCCGAGGACGTAGGTCTCGCCGACTTTCAGTGTCACGCCGCACATCGAATCCGAGGACGAAGTCCATAAAAGGTTCTGCATCAGAACCGCGTCGGCCTTTGGGTACGACTGTGGGAGAAAAGAAGGCGTGCGCGCGGTTAAGCCTAGATTACATTTCGCGATGGGCGCACAATACGCACCTTGAAGACCCTGTTTATCTTGACCTCGTATGCGATCTCGTACATGCTCATAGCGAGAACATTCTTCACCTTCACCACGGCGACTGCGACAGACAAAAGACTGCCGTTAACCGTGGCCGCGCTGTCGGCGCTTCTTACGAAAGCCGGGGAGCGAGCCCCGTCGTTACTCAACGCACGTATTTTACGGGAAGCACGGTGACCTATTACGTTCCTACGGGGCCGATATCTGTAATCTCCTCGTCGTGACAGTTTACGATTATTGCCTCCGGGTGTATCCCGCGTCCCGATACGCCCTGGGATCTTTTTGTCCGAGTGTTAGCGAGTAATCGAATAAAGCGAGATACGAGCTTCCGGCTCAATTTCCAAATACGAAATAGGACCGCACGGATCGTAAAAGAGAAATTGCAGTTTGTCGCCTTACCGAAGTCCGAGTTGCAAAACTGCGTCTGAGGGTGAGACGGTGCGCAGCTGCACGCTGCGACCCTCTGCACCGGTGCCAACAGCACGGTCAGCAGCAGGAAATGCGTCCACAGGAGTAACCGCCTCATCTGCGAAGAGAGAGAAAAATTGGAGATGCATCGTTCCGCCGCGAGTAGACGATCACGCCGACGATCGTTGATCGCCGATGATCGCGACGAACGTGCGTTGTCCGTCATCGGCCTGTTTCTATCGCGCGCGACAGATCAGGTTGTGTTCCGTTGCGCGTTTAAATTGGCAGCAAGGCGAAGGGAAATTTAATCGCCGTGAGATAAAAGGTGCAACGAGACGCAACAAACTGCCGCGCACGCGGAAAATCCGTTACGATCCGCGAAATCCGGTTACGGGCTTGCGAGTCGTCCGAAGTGACTCGTATTCCTACTTGCCGCGAGTACTACACACATCGGCGAGTAATCTTTGCTGTTTGGCGTAAAAATGTCAAGACGGGTTCCGAGGTCTAATTTGTGGTGATTTCGAGCGAATAGGCGGTTGCTGGAAACATCCGGTCGCGGTCGTTTCATCGCGAATGTCCGGCATGTGTGATGTTTGCTTGTCGTTGACTGTTTGCAGCTGATAATGTTTAATAACACGTCGGAAATACGCACATTCTGTGTGTGGTTATTTGCTTTCCTCGGCAAACGCGGGACGCATCTTACGCAGCAACAAAAATGTTATTTTATTCGCGCGCGTGTCGAGAGCTAGCGCTAGCGTTAATTAGCGCGCTGATTGAAAATCGCTCTTTTACATTCGCAGAAGCGCCGCCGCCGGCCCGCGTCGCTCGCGCGGAATTCGGCAATTAATCGATTCATAAACGTTTACGTTGCATTTCTGTGTAGATTTCATAGCTTCCCCCTTTCCTGTGTGAAAATTGATTACCACCCACGGCGCGACGCGGCGCGCAATTTCCCGATGTTTCAGCAAATAATATCGTCGGGAAATACAACTAAGTAACTAATTGGACGTGATATTTTTTCTTGTTATCGAATGTGCGATATTTGGTCGCGATGTTTGTTGTCGCACAAATAAATGAACATCGCCGTGAGCGACAGCAAATTGTTTCGCTAACGTACGACGCGATGTTTGCATGTGATGTGTCAACGTAATAAACCAATTCGCCGCGAGTAGCAGGTGCGCTTAAAAGGAAAAAAGGAAAAGAAAAATGGGGAAATATATCTGGCACTGATATTGAATATCGCCAGTGTTACGTCGCGCTTGACGTTTACCAAAGTCCGATATTCTCCGATATTTATACAGCATATGCGTAAAATAACACACGGAGTCTCCTCCGCTGAAGGATGAAAAGCTCACTAAGGAAGCGCGCTAATCCGACCTAGTTTATCGTCGCCAGCTGAACGCTGATCTAAACATAGCGGCAAAACGGTAAGCAAAGTCGAGCGCGATCTAGAAACACTTTGCGCGGCCGAAAATGTCTCATTGACGCGCTAAGCGGCGTCGCGATGACCGTGCGAACGTACAGTCGAGCATCTCAACTACGAGCGCTGTCGTGCCGGAGACGATGATGTCGAAAAGTCGAAGAGTGTCTGAGTGAAATTAATGAGAATCCAGTCGCATTGGATCCCCTTCTATTAATCATAAATCAGCGTATCGCATTGAGACATTTCTCCAAGCCGACATTTTCCGATATTCCGTGCACGATAAAGTGTCTGGTTTCGCGCATAACGTAGCGGATACGAGTCGATGGGATAAAAATATGAGCACGCGTCTTGTCAGCTCGTCCGATCTATATATTATCGAGAGAGAGAGAGAGAGAGATGTTCGCCCGTGGAAGATGGAATCTCCCGTGGAACAACATACCTCTACGGGATGAAAAATATTCGTTAAATTGTGTCACCTTTTCGGTCATAATATTTTCCTGATACAAGAACGCGAAAATCGATGAAAGCAGCAAAACTTGTACATTTTTAAATTTCCTACAAGAATCCGGGATACCTCCTCGCTCATTATATTCTTTTGATATGAAAACGCGAAATTGGGACAATCTCGGAGAATTCTAGAATCTTTTCTAGAAGAATCTAAAATTCTAAATTTCCCGTCAGAAACTAGGAATATCTCATCTGTTATCATGTTCTCCTAATACGAAATCGAGGAAATTCAAAATTCCACAAATTTCTTCGATCTCGTGTTTTGGTATTAGGAGAACATGAATAACTGAAGAGGTATTCCTAATTTCCGGCAGGAAATTTAGAATTCTAGAATATTCTGGAACATTCAAGAATCTTTCAAAAATCTTGAATTTACTAGAAGATTCCAGAATGTTCTAGAAAATTCCAGACTTTTAGGTCGTCCTTCTCGACCACGTGCTCCTCGTTCTCGACCGTGTAATTGTCGTGCAGAATTTTAGAATCCTCTAGGACATTCTACAATCTTCTAGAAAATTCTGAAATTTTCTAAAAACTTCGAGAATATTTTAGCAAATTTTAAGTTTTAGACAATTCGAGAATGTTCTAGAAGATTCTACAGTTCCAAATGTCCCGTCAGAAATTAGGAACACCTCTTCGGTTATTAGGTTCCATGAAAACACAAAATCGGGGAAATCTGAATTTTTTAATTTTTAATTAAAATTTATATCAGATATTCGAAATAACTTTTCGCTCATTATATTCCTCCTGATACAAAGTGTAAAAATCGAGAAAATGGAAAATTTAAATTTCCCCCCAGTAATCCGGGATGCCTCCTCCAATAATTATTCTCCTGATACAAAGTGTAAAAATTTAGAAAAAGAAAAATGAAATTTTTCGTAGATTCGTAGACAGGAGAATATAATGACCGAAGAAATGGCATGATATAATTCCGAATACCTCTTCGCTCATTATATTCTCCCGATAATAAAATGTGAAATTTTTTAAAAATGGAGAATTCATATTTCGAGACACGGGGATATATCGCTTTATCACCGATACGTATTCCACTCCTTCCTTTCTCTCTCTCTCTCTCTCTCTCTCTCTCTCTCGCGCTTGCTCGCTCGCTCGAACGAATTACGTTCATGGTGTCTCGATGTTTTCTCGCGACGACCTGATTTGCATGGAACCTTTATGCCCTTGTCGATCGTCTTTCTACGGAGCGAACCTCCGCGGGATCCGCCGCGATGTATCGTAAAGAGACAAGGGCGTAGTTATTGTTACGGTAGACGATCCCAGCCGTCTATAGGGATACCGGTATACTCGTGGCCATAACGATATATCATCGTTGAAATCCGCCAGCGCCGCCCTCGCTGCTTCGCCGAGCCGTAATGTAGAAATAATCGGCCGCGAAAGCCGTGTAAACCAACGTGGAAGAAAGATGTAGATAAATCCATGAGACTGCGGGGGATGATCCGCACTTATTACGCGGATATAGGAAAATAATAGTTATTCGTTAAGAGAAAATAAGCGGCCGATGTCGGTAATCGATATCGCGACACATTCGTTTCGCTCGTTATCTTGTCGAAGAGCTCGGTGTCCGTAATCAGGAGAAAATGGCTGTCGGTGCTTTCCATATTTAGCGCACGTGGATCCCCCCAACGATTCGCGACAGCCGATAATCATCATTTTGGCGTGCTTTTATACGAATTTATTTTCCCTCGACTCGCGCTCCATTACTTGCAAAAGCAGTGAGATACCAAGGTGGTTTGCCCGCAGGGAAATTTATCGATCGCGATTAAATAGCGGGGTTGCGATCGCGGTTTATCGATCGCGTTTAAATCACAGTCCGCGTATCGAGCGGAAGGGCATAAATATCAAATGAGGATAAAAACAGGGGGATTAGTCCCTTTATCGTCATTGTATCGCCAAATTGACTTAATCGCACGTTCTATCTATCGCGTGCTAAATAAATGGCGCCGTTTTTCAATTAACCGCTCGAAATCCGGCCGCTGAAACTCGCATACATTGTCCACACCGTGATACATCCAGTCGCGAGAGCAAACTGGTCGCGCCGCGCCGGCAGGAAAATAAAACGCGTCCTTCGCGCGGCAGCATTTGCATACGGTCATCGATAGTCTCGTTATAAATCGATTGCGGTTTAGGTTTCTATCTCGCGCGGAAGACAGACACGCGTACACGTTCTTCGAGAGCGAAGCAGAGTCGCACAAACACGCAGACAATGGCACGATAAGGTCGTGAAATTTATTGCTGTCACATCATCATCGTCCGAGGAGCGACCGAGAGGACGACAACACGCTCGAGTGACCAAGCTCTTTCGGACGAACAAACAATCGCGTTTCAGCGTGGAACACGAGAGAGAGAGAGAGAGAGAGAGAGAGAGAGAGAGAGAGCACGGACTGCGTAATATTCCATTAACGAGATGAAGCAAAGAAGCTTAAGTGAAAGCGGCGTGGACAATTATCTCCGCCGCGCGTACATGCAATACCTTTGTCATCCGCGCGCGGCACAGACACGCACACAGACAACAGCACGAGAATCATGCGCGAGGCTCATCCAAGCGGCGCTCCGGTAATCGAACGTACCGTTACAGACCGCACAGACAATCGAGATTCTACGGTGCTGACGAAAGGATTGATACGGGCAACCTTCGGTGCACGCGTCCACACCCAGGTATGAGTGTTCTCGCGACGACGTTCGCCGAATGCGCTTCATGCATCATCATGCAAAACGGATTGATTGAGGGGCTGATGTCACAGGCGGCGGCGGCGGCGGCGGCGGCGGCGGCCGCGATGCGCACTCGCATTACTTTTGTTTCCGTTTGCGAACAATAAAACAAGCTCTCGCGCGCGCGCGCGGCGAGAGGCCGAGAGAGCGCACGTCTGCCGGTGTTCCACGCCTCATGACGCATCGCGACTCCACGATGACACGGTGCCGTTCGTCACGCGCCTCGCGATTCACTTGGGTCCCTTAAAGCGTGGACACCGCCGCCGCCGCCGACGACGACGACGACGACGACGACGACGACGACGACGACGCCGGCGGTGGCGGCGACGGTGAACGTCGTAATCGCACGCGCATTTACGCGCGCGAGCGAAATCGCGTGGCGAATGGGCGTTAAAGCGCGAGCGAGATGCTCCTTCATGCTCACGGACGCGGAGAATCGGATGTTAACGAGTAAATCGAAGGGG